TATGAGAGAAGAAACTGTGCTGTATTAGGTACTACACTCAGTCTCATCCCAACAATGTGGTGTTGTGCATGCAATGCGCTTTGTGCATTGTCGCCATGACATCACACACATGTGACGCACACACTTGGGCCCCACAAATCTTGGGCACAAGATGGTGTCTTTGATTGACAACCGTACTTTATCGCACTCCAAGGCCATGGCTCATATTACATTTGCTATGGACATGCCACTAGAACAGTGCCCCCCTTCCCTTCCTAATGATTATGTTATGTGTCTCCATTAACCCCAAACTCTGAGATCCATTTTGTTCCTGTTCCAGCTGCAATGGGAGCAACCTTTTGCAAAAGAGTCCAGCAAAGAGGTTATCCTTCAGAACAAATTTCCAAAGAAGCAACAAAGCCTGGTATCAAATTGTTCTGGAGACAGCCCCCACGTTCAAAATATTAAGCCACAGAATAACATCTGAAGATTGGCCGCTGAGCTTTTGGGAATGAGTTCCTGTTCTGACAGTTCATCATACTGACTGGGTCTGACATTCTTCCTTGAACAAAAGAAAATATATCAGTACATATAATTCAATTTAATCACTGCGCTGAGGCAAAATCTGTGCACTCCAAGACAGCAATTGCTATTCTCTCAGGCTACTAAGAAGCATGATGATCTGAAAACAATTGGAAAGGAACTCTCTAAAATGCCAGATCAGGCCCAAAAGGATTTGGACATCTGCCTCCTGTCTCCTAACACTCATCAAGACAGTCAATTTTGTGTATGGGCTCCGTTCAGCTTCTGAGCTGTTTTTCAAGTCTATTTTTCTTTCAGGTTTGCCATGCCAATGTAATATAAGTGAGAGACACATAGCCAAAAGATTCATCTGACTATTTCCGATCATTGTGTGACCTTCACCTCTGCAGCCCTTGGCGATGTGCACCCTTCCTTAATGCCCCTGCAAAGTGGCACTAGCACAAAGGATCTCTGAAATTAGTGCTGTGCTGAAATACACCCTTCAGATGGCAAAAGTTTTCTTCCCCCGAGAAAGAGGTTTCCATTTTTCTGTCTCCTCTCTTTAGAGGTTTGGAGCTTGCCTTATGGCTGAGAGATGGCCAAAGATTATGTGGGCATTTTTTCTTTCCAGTAAACATTCCCGATTGGAAAAAGCCTGCATGGGAGGAGTTAGACCTAAGGGACATTACTCAGTGCTAGAGCAATGCAGAAGGCTCCAGGACCGGGAGAGACCTGGAGCTTTGATCAATGCATGAGCACCTGGGGAGGCTGCAGGGATGCTCCCATGGCAGGGGTGTGGTGTGCTTGTGGCGGTGGCAGTAGTGGTTGCCCACAGCAGCAGAGTGGGAGTGGAGGCATGGTATTGGTGGTGAGTAGCATAATCCTCAAGCCCAGATCTACTGCCTGAGGCGACCACCTCATATTGCCTCATGGTCGAGCCAGTCCTGGCTGCTGCTGTGCCTCAACTTAGATCAGGTTGTGACCCAGTAGTGTGTCCAACCCATCTGTTGAAAGCCAATATTTTTAACAGCCCCTCCCTGCTATGAGAGAAGAGACTTTCCTTTTTAATTTTTGCAGCCAGCTTGGAAACCAAGCTGGTTGGAGGAGGCGGAGGAGTTGAGACATCCGTTCCTCTTCTCTCACCCTGATCACTCGCCTATATGGAATTCCTGATTTCCCATGAATACCAGGCAAGTAGTTAAACACAAGGCTGATCTCTCCCTCCCTCTCTGTCAAGATGCTGTCAGCGGCTCCCGGATGGTTGCCTAGGAACATACAAAGACAAGGAAAAGTTTCTTACCGTCCTTTTTTATTTCAATATTTACAGAGAGAGGCTATAGAACCCAGCCTCTTGGATAATGGCATTTGTCCTGAGTGAATCTCCACCCCATCCCCCGACTCTCCCACTTCCACATCCGTCATTCGTACGGATGCTGCTACATACCCTCTGTCTTTGAGCTCTTTGCTCTCCTATTTTTAAGGCTCGCCGGGTTCTGGGAGATGGAAGGTCTGGGATGCTTTCTAATACACTGTGTAAGCCAGCTGCCGCTCCGGTTCTGCCTCCTCCTCTCCCATGATTTCCCAACTTTCCCCCTCATCTGCCTCTGAGCTGTGACCTCCCTCAACCCCCTGTTGGAAATGTATACTGCCTTCCTCTTCCTCCTCCCTGGAAGGGTCAGGATGGGGAGGCGGTCTCCACCATTCATCCTCTGCCCAGTTCCTGCCACTCCTTTCCCTTCCCAACATTCTTCACTTTTACTAAAAAGCAACAACCCTGTTCGTGAGCCATGACTTCAAGAAACAAACTATAAACAACAGTTGTCCATAACTGTTTACTACTGACATGTTCTACTCAGACTACTGAATTACTAAATGAGAGTGGCACAGTGGAAAAGCAAAGTAGTCTTTCAATGAGTCAAGTGCAGAATATAGCTTATTCCACTATAAACACAAGAGATGAGAATACAAAGGAACTGAGTGAATAAAAGTTGACAATAAAAAACAACAACCAGGTTTCTGTTTTTATTTTTAAATCAAATGTAGGTTGATATTTTCTTTTAAATAAAAACAAGGTCTTAAATGTAGATATAAGCATGCTAGCCTAGCCTTGCATTTAAGCACTAGCCTGGTAGGTAAAGACCACCAGGAATTCTATACAGGTTAGTGTCTGGGCTGGAGCAGGAGGTGATGAACTTTCAAAATGGAGACAGTTGAGATTGGACCAGCTCCCTAACCTGCTGTTTATGAGGCTCAGAGTGTATGAGATCAGAAGACTTAGAGAACAAAGGTTTGTGGCTTTTAGGTCTTAACTGTAATAGAAATAGAGTTCTCATACTGTGATACCTGCCAAGACCTCCCTCGGAAAGCACGAGCAATTGTTTAAGGAAAGAGTGAACTCTACCCTCTCTCCCAATTTACTTCTACTTTGGTGTGTATTTTGGAAGGACATGGCAGCAGAAAGCTAATCTGCCTCATCAGTTAGTGTAATGCAGAGAAATGCTACCCAAATCTGGAAAACACAAGTTTAGATGCTGGATTCCAATATCTGCAGGCAATGGGACTGCCAGGACTGCTCCCACCACTGGTTTGAGAACTGGTATACACACAACATCAGCCACAATCCATATCTATCCTGTTGTTTCTTACGAAATAGTCAAACTTGCTTCAATCCAAGTTGAGAACAAGAATGCACTAGCAGTGATTTAAGTTGGTAATGCATAAACATCCTGTGTGTCACTGATGCGGGTTAATAACGTCTCTAACCCATCTTGGTACTCCAGATCTCAACTCCAGAAAACATCCGGACCCATCAAATTATTTCCCACTGCCAGCCCTGAATTTGCATTCTTTTATTTCAAATATCTCAAATCCAAAAAGTGACGTGGTTAGCAGATCAATCGCTGGTTCGGCTAAGGAAATGGCATTTTCTCTAACTGGGAAGTATTATGCTATGGGGATCTTCTATAAACCCTCTTGGGAAAGTTTATAGATCTGTTTGCCTATTCCTTTGTTTATCTGTCACCACTATTCTTTAGGCCTTTGTTTCTTTAGGCCTAGGTTCTCTCGCTCACACATTTCTCATTGCAAAAAAGTGGTGAGCAAGTGGGTGCTTGCTCGCTTCACCCTCCCCAACACATTCCTGATGGTCTGGCCCCTAGAGTCTCCAGGCTTTGGGGTGAAATATCTGCAGCAGGGAGCCAGCCCTACTCCATTCAGAACCCTGTGCAAGTAGAGTTCTTCATTACACAGCGAGACTCCATGAGAAGAGCTGGCTCCCCACGGCTGACATTAATCTCTCCTTAATGTCTCCTCACCCACGGAATGGGAAACTTCTGAAGGAGCAACGTCTGAATAGGGCTGTTGGCACATGATTCTAGGTATATTCAGCCTTGCAAATCACTGGACAGCCAATGCATTATGAGACCCACATTGGGTGTGGGTGCCTCACAACATGGGAGCTATGGGGTACAGAAACCCCCACGGGTTGTCCCTGCAAGGTGGAGTAGTAACGAAACTGACTGGATTTAAACCATATTTCTTTCCTTTAGCTCGCCAAAGCTCTATGCATGGGATAAATTAGAAATTACTACAGTGGAAAAAAGAGTAACAGTTCATCCCCACTGAATACCCAACTGTCAGACAGCGAAGCGAAGTTCTTGTGGGTCACTTTTTCAGTCTGCACTGCGATATTCCTCTCAGACTCTGCTGAGGTTACCTGCACTTTGCCAAAGGCAGAGGGAGTGGATTCCGGGAACTGAATTCTCATTGGAGAGATATCTTACAAAGTATGTTTGCTTTAGGTCCATTAAAATTATCCTCTCCCTCACGCCAGTTTTGGATTTTGTAGATTTCAAAGATAAATGCTTTGGGTGGTGTTCAACTAAGATTTACCCTTTCTGTGCCCCTCTCTGGGAGAACAGCCAGATAGCGGGCCTATCTATTGCACTGCTACTGCATGGAATTTAGCCATGAGGAAGCAGCCTCTGTAGTCTGGACTGTAGCTCAATATTAGAGCATCTGCTTTGCATGCAGAAGGTCCCAGGCTTCTCCAGATAGGGCTGGAAAAGATTACCTGTCTGAAACCCTAGAAAACTGCCACCAATCAATGTAGACAATACTGAGCTCGATAGGACAGTGGTATGACTTGGGATAAGGAAGCTTCCTGTGTTCCAGAGCACGACAGAATGAACACGGCCAGGTTAGACGTGCTAATTTCAGTGGGTCTGCTCTGAGTAAAAGTTAGTTGGATACCACCCTTCTGTTTTAAACCCTTTCAATGAAATTGCAGATAAGCGCGAGATAGAATTGCAGGGGGGAAGGTCCTGGGAGCAAGTCTACTTTTCTACACAGAGATTCCACCTCTTAAATCTTGCAACATAAAACACTGTTTTCTGTCCCACTCCAGGCACGTTTTGAGTGGCGTGGGTCACAAATGCTGCCCATGCATGGAATTCCTCCAACTTTGTCATTCCTCAGGAACCCATCTTTGAAGGAGAACTTCAACATTTCTTCCGCGTTTTTACCACTTTACTGTAATATCTGACAGGAATCCCAGAAGGCCCAATGAGGTAAACATCGAATAAGTAGACTGTGCCTGCTTCAAGCCCGCTGATGGTTTCGGTCGTCACGGCTCGCCGGAGATTGAGATCGTGGAAGTATTTGCACAGCACCTTGTCGCCTTTTTGCCTTGACTCTGGCCCTGAGCACCTGTCGGCGTTCCTGGTTTCCATCCAGACCTGGTCCTCCTCAATCTGTTTCTTGTACACGCAGTACTTGCTCATCTGCTGTGTGCCCAGCCAGGCGATGGTGACAGAATTGCAAGTCCTCAGCTTGCTGAATGACTTGATTTTCAAACTCTCTGGCAAGACTGGGAAGAAAGGCCTGTGGAAGAGAGAGGACACCTGTACCTTCACAGATGCGTTTGAAGGTTCTGTGGAACCCAAGTGCAGCAGGTAAAGGTCTCCCGGCCTTCCCTTCAGCATGAAGTGCCTCAAGCCGGCAAAGCTCTCTGACATGAGCACTTTCCCACCTCTGGCTATCTCGACCCGTATTTGGCCACTGCAAGACTGAAAGGCAAACTGAACCTGCTTTTGCACAGCCTGGTACTGCAGATCATGGAGAGCTTCCTTCCTCCCATCTAGGGTGAGTTGAATCACCTTCCCATCCTTTAGGATGGTGACTTTGGGCTCCGGTTCCTCGAGGGTTCGGGCAAAGGTTCCAGTGTAGGCAGCACTGGCATTGGTGAGGAAGTTGACCACAAACACATCAAAGTAATACTGAGTGCTGGGTCTCAGGTTGGTGACTGTGTAGGTCTTCTTGGTGCCAACACATATCTGCCTCACCTCCCCATTGCCAGCTTTGCTAACAAGGCTCAGTTCGCCATTGGGCGTGATCATCACTTGCTGAGGGTCCAGGACATACGGAGACAGTGAGAGCGCTAATGCTTGCTGCGACGTCACTCCAGAAGGTCTTAGGGCTGTTTCTGCTGCGCATAAGCTCTTGTAGTTATGCCTTTCATTTACCAGAAGACAATACTGGACATTTTCTTTGTGCTGCAGGGCTGTTGAACTCTGCTTCCAAGCCAGGGTTACCGTGGTGTGGCTAATGCCGACGACATCTATGCGTGGATCCGTTGGGAGTTCTGGATACAGGTGCTCAGAAGTTGTGTCTGTCGTTAGATACACCGTGATTTGGGTGTCTCTTTCAATGGACAGGAATTCCAGCACGTAGACAGCGGAATAGTAAGATGTCCCCATGTATGTCTCCACAGAATTGCCTCTGTAGCTGAAGAGAGTAGACACGGTCTTCATGGTCTTTGGAAACTTTAAGGCTTCCTGAACGTCCAAATCATCTGTCAATGACATATGGAAATGCAAAAATATTTTAAGTCACGCTTCTTTGGGGGATGGGCAGAAATGTTCAGCTAGGTTTGGAGAACATTTTTCAGACTGAAGGCCTTGTTCCCTTCTGGGTGTCAGGGACTGGGCAGAGGAGGAATGGTGGAGACCGCCTCCCCAGCTTGACCCTTCCAGGGAGGAGGAAGAGGAAGGCAGTTTAGATTTACAACAGGGGTTTGAGGGAGGTCACATTTCAGAGACAGATGAGGGGGAAAGTTGAGAAATAATGGGAGAAAAGGAGGAGGAGGGGGAGGAGGAGAAAAAAGAAACACCAAGGGGATGACAGCTGATGGACACAGTGTCTTTAGAAAGCATTCCATACTCCCCCTCCCAGAACCCAGCGAGCCTTGAAAGTAGGAGAGCAAAGAGCTCAAAGACAGAGGGCACATAGCAATACCCATAGGAGAGACGATGAGAGTGACGAATGAGGAAGTGGGAGAGACGGGGGGTGGGGTGGAGATTCACTTGGGACAAATATACCAGTATTTTTTTCTGCTGCCAGGAAGGAAAAATAGAGCCGAGGGATGAATCAACCATTATGAATGGCTAGCTAACATTGATGACCCTCCTAATCCATGGCCTTGCATGCATCTCTTACCACGTGCTGCTTTCCCAAGGTAGTTTGCTGAAGTCTTATGGACCCGGATGCTCCACTCAATGGGGACATCGCACGGAGTCACTCTCACAGTGAACGGTGCAGAGGTCCTGCCTTTCTCTAAAACAAAATAGTACCTTGGAAAGAAGGGAGAAGAAGAGTCCTTGAGAGTCATTGTACCCTGTAGGCTTCCACTAGAAGGGACATCCCTAGCAAGTCCGAGAAGAAGCATACAGCATCAATGAGCTCTTCCCATTCACAAGTCTGGGAACTACAGCAGTGGATACTGAGGTGGGGCTGTGCCACTCACCTGACCACCAGGTAACATCTCAGCTCAAATCTGCAGACAACTTCATAAAACTCACAGCAACCACAATCCCAGTAGAGGGGTTCTTGCAAACTACTGCCACACATGCACAAGTCTTTTATTTTGTGACTGCTGAGACCCTCTGGGAGATTTGTAACATCATCTGATCACGTAGTCGCATGCCTCACATCCGGACTTTGTGAAGGTAGAATTTGTTTTCAAATGCTTTGGATGAGTGATATCTATGTGATTAATAAGGTGTTGTTTTTAATGCGAGCCCCAGTTTTTAGCAAAGATACTTATAAAATGGATTTTGTAAGTCCATTTGGAACCAATATTTTAAAACTCAACCCGTTGCTTCAGCTGAGGATAGAGGCCATATTTTAAAACCACAACCAATTATCCCAATTTATTCTTTTCACTTTTACTGCCCCTCCGAGAGTTCTTCTATGTGCTCTTGCGGTCATGCTATACATTATGTAACCTGGTAGCATTTACGTGGCCTTGCTCCTCTCCCACTCTCTGCAGTGCCTGTGTCTGAAGCGAAGCGGCTGGCTTTCATGTATGAATATGCATTGGATTTACAGGTGCTAATGTGATGAACTGGTGTCTCGGGGGAATAGCAGAGAACTACTGGTGACAGAGCAGAGAACCTCCTTGCAAAAATGGTGATAATAGAGAACTTCACATTCTGGTGCACAATACTGTTACTTGTAGAAGCAATATATAATAGAAATATCATGAAAAACCATATATTTCTTCAGATGAGATCTTTGCATTGTAACCCACAATGGGAGGGTTCCAGTTAAGATTGCAGCCAGTCGGCCACACTTTCCTTCAGGATATTGTAAGTTGTTAGGGGCTCATGCAAGCCAGTTTCTTCTCTCTGCTTGCTTTTCTTTCCCAACTCTCACTCAGTTTTCTGTGGCTCCTATGAGATAACTGAGGAAGCTAACATTTGCAGGGTTTGTGTTTGGCATCACTGCATTCCTCAGGAATACGTCCCTCTAGACTTGGCTCCAATTAAGATTTGGCTCCCTTAAGTTCTGCATTCACAGGAATGATTCCCTCACCCCCAATACAAATAGAGATAGCATTTTGTCAGATGTGTGTCTGCTTATCTATTCTTGAGGCAAGCATATGTAAAGAGCACAGATCACTTTCATTTCTGGAGATGAATAATGAAGAACTTTGTCCATCATCCCACCAACTGGAAGAGATGGAGCTGCTAAGGAATGTGGTGGTACCGTATTTTTCCATATATAAGACACCCCCATGTATAAGACGACCCCAATTTTTTTTTAAGCCAAAATTAAGAAATTAAGTTGTTTAGGGTTTTTTGGGGGGTGGGGGAGGTCACTTCCGCCAATCGCTCACCCGTCTGCCTGTCACTGCCAATCGCTTGCCACTGCCACTGCCGATTGCACACTTCACCGCAGCCACCAGTTGTCTGCCCACCTTGCCACAGCCGCCAATCGCTTTCCCAATTGCCGCAGCCACAGCCAATCGCCAGCAAGCCTTGCCACAGCCACCAATCACCCACCCAATTGCTGCTGCCAATCTCCTGCTTGCTGCTGCCATTAATCGCACGTCCCCCCTCGGCATTCACTATCTGTGTATAAGACGACACCCAATTTTTGCCTAATTTTTTTTAGCAAAAAGCGTCGTCTCATACACAGAAAAATACGGTACTTATTTCTGGAGGGTATGCACACAATGGAGCTATTTTGTTAGTTGTTTAAGCTTGCTCTTTTGACTGCTGTAGAGCGACAGTGCATAATTTTGATCTTAGATGGAGTGTGTTGCTTGTTGCAGATTTCATATTTTACTCGGATGCAACAAAAGGATGTACTCTCTCTGGTGTTTCAGGGTTGTGCATTAGATGACGTCCTGTGTGGTTAGCAGATTTTTGTAAACAAGTGCTTGCTCCCCCCCCCCCACTGATGGTTAGTGGCTCTTTCCTTTTCTAAAGAAAAGCAGAGGAATACATTTGGCACCAGCTTGGCTGCAGGAGTTGCTGGAAGGAGGTGTTCAAGGCACCATCCAACCATCTTAGGGAATCCACTCTGGATTTGTGCTGGGTTTACTCCTCAGCCTTTTCTTCTCCCGAAGATGTCCTGCAAGCCAGAGGAGGTTTAGGGTGTGGTGTGGCTGCAAGAATTCGGATGAAATGAAAGGACATATAAGGCTCCCTTTACCTTTTGGGTATATCTTCCAAGAGGTGCACTGTGGTTTCCTTGCCGTCTGCGAGGATGAATGTATGGTAAAAGTTGAGGAGCTCACTCTTGAAGCTTTGCTGTATGCTGTGCGCTACCTCCGTCGAATGGCAGAAGTACATGGCCAAGAGGAGCACTGGGGGCAGGCAGGCCTGGGACCCGGACATCGTGAGAGCTGCAACAAGCAGCGGACACATTAACAAAGCTGGAGATTTCTTAAATTCTATAACATGCTATTGAGTTACTACAGATCACAGATGACAAATAGCTCAGCCAGACCCTGTTTGAGTTGAGTTTCATATCTAAACATACAGCAGGACACCTACTGTGTGATGCCTCCTCTGGCTGTTCAAACATACCTACTTATTAAAGCTTTCCATGGCCTGTGATCCCACTTGAATGGTTTCTAACTAATATTGTTTTGACATGTTGTTTTTATTGGATTATTTTGTGTGTGTGTGTGTGTGTGTGTGCGCATATACATGCCAGACCTTCCAAGTGTCCCTATTTTCCAGGGACAATCCCTGAATTAGAGAAGCCGTCCCAGTTTCTGATTTGATCCCGGAATGTCCCGCTTTTCCTTAGGACGTCCCTATTTTCATTGGAGAAATGTTGGAGGGTATGGCACACACGCACATATACAGCACACACATGGTAGAAAGACTGGTTTATAGGAAATTGCCTTATTGTACATCACCTTGGTATTATCTGAATGTGGGGCAATATGTCAATCTTTTGAAAGAAGGAAAACAATATTCATACCCTGATGATGATGATTAAAATGTATATACTTCCCTATACCTGCAGGTCTCAGGGTGGTTATAATAAAAGATCACAATACAGTGGTACCTCGGGTTACATATGCTTCAGGTTACATATGCTTCAGGTTACACACTCCACTAACCCAGAAATAGTGCTTCAGGATAAGAACAGAAATTGGGCTCCAGCGGCGCGGCAGCAGCAGGAGGCCCCATTAGCTAAAGTGGTGCTTCAGGTTAAGAACAGTTTCAGGTTAAGAACGGACCTGCAGAAAAATTAAGTACTTAACCTGAGGTACCACTGTATAAAGACACAAAATACATGATAAAAATACAAACAAAAACAGCCCAATAAACCCCACCCCTGTCCCCAACACATTTTAAAAGGGCATTGGATGTCAATCAGCCAAGGGCCTGGTTAAAGAGGAATATGTTTGCCTGGCACCTTTGTGTATGATGAATCAACTGAGCCTCCCTGGGGAGAGCATTCCACAAACAGGGAGCCACTGCAGAAAAGGCCTGTTCTTGTGTTGCCACCCTCTCATGGAAGAGGCACATGAAGAAAGGCCTCAGAAGATGGTTGCAGAGTTTGGGTAAGTTTATATGGAGGGAGGCGGTCCTTGAGGTATTTTGGTCCCAAGCTGTTATTGGTTCCTAGGGGTGCTAAATATTTTTCAGCCTGTGGGCCCCATTCCCTTGCAGACTGGGTGCACTGGGTTTTACATCATTGTCTTTGAATGGAACTTGGTTTGGGAATGTTTTGAACTAATTGTCTGGATGTGTCCCAAGGTAGATAGAAAAGCACTGGAGTTAAGGTTAAATTATGGTTGTGTGTGTTGCTGCTGTCAGGGAACTAGGCAGAGGGCCTTCTTGGTAGTGGTACCCGCCCTGTGGAACACCCTCCCATCAAACGTCAAAGAGATAAACAACTACCTGACATTTAGAAGACATTTGAAGGCAGCCCTGTTTAGGGAAGTTTTTAATGTGTGACATTTTAATGTATTTTTAATCTTTGTTGGAAGCTGCCCAGAGTGGCTGGGGAAACCCAGCCAGATGGGCGGGATACAAATAAATTATTATTATTATTATTATTATTATTATTATTATTATTATGTCACCTAGCACGAGTGATGTCACAGGCACTGTTCAATAGGCACTCCAGGCAACACTTCCAACCACAACTGGTCCCACTTGCCATGGAAAAGAGCTGCATTTTCTATGGCAGAGTGCTGGGAATTTGCGAAGTCTGGATGTTATATAATGAAGAAGCAAATGGCAGCACGTTTGTCGCAGCATAAACTGGTCATCTGGAAAGACCATTGCTTTAATTGATTAAGAGAGAGAGAAAATAGAGCAGCATATGGGTCAGAGTGGGGAAAACTGCCAACTTCTGACAACCATTGTAGCTGCAGAACAAAGTGTCGGTAGGTAGGGGGTGCTCTTAGAACAGTATCAATTGTAGGAGAAAGCCTCCTTAAACTGAACTGTAACACACAGTCAATAAATTAGCAAATTTGATTCACGAACAGTGGTAGGAGAGAGAATAAGCCATAAATACAGAAGAACAAAGAAACGACGTTTATTATTTAGCAGGTTTTTTTTTTTTTTAAAAAAAAAAGATCAGTAGATCAAATCCACTAACTGTTAGAATTCTGGTTAATATTTATGGCTTGAGTCTGTAGTAGTATCACTGCACTACCTCTGAATTTGTAAGTCTGATCCTTGTCAGTGATGTATCGTAAGAATAGGCAATTTTCATCAGCCACAAAATGTGGCATCACATTCTGTCCTACACCTCAAAAGCGATAGCATTTATGTTGCCTTCAGGATTTAGGATGCCTTCATAAAATGTGAAGCAGGGAAGTAAATGGTTCATATAAAAAAACCCCTGTCCAAATATGTATGAATGATGCTTGCCAAATTCTTTTGCATCTCAATCACCTCAATAAGAATAACAGTATATTAACATTCTCACTATGTACTGATATATTCCTTTGGCAGTTGTTTGCTCAAACCATATCTTATAAAGTCAACATAAATATTCAAACTTCTAAATCGACATGAACTTTAGGTTTTCCATACTTTAAAGGTAAACAGCGGTCACAGATTGCATTGATCCCCAAGCCTTCTTGCCTGGCAAAGACAGATATTGTAGGCTGACCCGAAATAGAATACCATCCCCATAAAGCTACAAACCTATAAACAGATTCTTGGCAGTGAAAATAAATAAATAAATGCAAAATAAATTGAGAGGGAGGAACCCAACCATTTTACTGCACTTACCTTTAGACAGATGCTATCCTGGCAACTTTCTCTCTGTGCAGAAATCCAAATGAAACACTCTGACCCAGACTTTTTGAGATCTTTGCTGGCAGATGAAAAACACAACTGGGAAACCTGTTTTTATAGGACCGAACTGACTTTTCCATATGTTTCAAGCAGAAGGATTAAAAAAAATAAAAGCTTTTAGTTTTATAGGCGAAGAGAGAAAAGTTCTTTTGTTTTTCTTTAAGCCTCTGCAATACGGATCTCCTCAAAACCAAACGGTCCCCTTCCTATACCTCTTGTACAAATATATTACAACTTTGTATTTTGAGAGCAATTTTCTTCTTCTTCCTTGTGGACAGGCAGGCAGCTCAGCTAGAAAGGAGCGCCATGCCCCACGGGTGGCTGCTTAGAGAGTGGGTCTTTGACAGAAATGCAAAAGCGTGTCTGTGTGGGAGGTGTGTGTGTATGCTCATTTAACCCTTTTGTAGTATTAGGTAGCCTACAGCCTGGTTATGTCCCCGCGTAATTTCAATTGGATGGGCAGGGACCTATCCTACTTCTAAAGTGTTCTGCTATCAGAATTGCATCAGAGTCATTTGGAACTGGAGAACTCACTGTTCTTTGACATTAAATATCAACAAACATGAATAAATGGGTGGATTAAAAACAACAACACACACACCTGTTGTATACATCTAAGCCCAAGCCTAAGGTTTGTAGAATGGGCACATAGGATGGAGAATCAGCTGGAAATTAAGAAGACCCTGGCGAGACAAAACTATCATATTAGAGAAAAACAAAAAGGTTTCAACCCCCGTGATTCAGAGCAATGACACTCCTAAAAGTATATTGTGATAGCTTCAATAATAATAAAATGGGTTTATCAGACCTGTAGGAATTATATTTAATTAAAAGTTAAAATAATTTGCAGCTGGATTCTAAGCATGTAAGACCCATTTGTTCAATGGGACTTACTTCCAGATAAGTACACACGGGATTATTAATTAATTAATTAATTAATTAAATTTCAGCAGAAGATCATAGGGCAATTCACAACACAAAAATACAAAATGAGAACACAAGATACATAATAAAACAAACACAAACCAGCCAACCAAACCGCCCCCCCACCAACACATTTAAAAGGCCAACATTTTCATTGGTGCCTAAAAATATGTAATGAGTGTTTTGGGTGAGCCTCCCTGGGGAGAGCATTCCACAAATGGGAAGCCACTTCAGAAAAGGCCCATTCTCATGTTGCTACCCTCCAGATCTCTTGTGGAGGGGGCACACGATAAAGGGCCTCAGATGATGCTTGCAAAGTCTGGGAGCAGTTCCTGAGGGGCGAGGTGGTACCTTGAGGTATTGTGGTCTTGAGCCATTTAAGGATTTATGGGTCAAAACCAGCACTTTGAACTGGGGCCAGAAACGAATTAGCAGCCAGTACAGTGGGTCCAGGATCAACATTATATGCTCAAACTGTCTTGCCTGTGAGCAACCTGGCCACCGAATTACGCACCAATTGACATTTCCAAACCATCTTCAGAGGCAGTCCCAAGTATAATGTGTTGCAGTAAACTAACCTAGATGTTACCAGAACATAGTCAACAGAAGTTAGGCTGTCCCTGTCCAGATAGGGGCATCGCTGGGCCACCAGCTGAAGCTGATGAAAGGCACTCCACACCACAGAGGCCACCTGAGCCTCAAGTGACAGCAAAGGATCCAGGAGGACCCACAAGCTATGTACCTACTCCTTCAGAGGGAGTGTAATCCCATCAAGAGCAGGCAACCTTCCATCCATCTGGTCTAGAGAACCAGCCACTAACAGTGCCTGAGCCTTATCTGGATTGAGCTTCAGCTTGTGGGTATCTTTGCCTTGCGTCCTTTAGCGTATCTTCCATGTTGCCTTCTTCCTCTGCATGCAATATGTTGTGGACCTTGTTTTTAGGTTGCTCGCTTCAGAAATTAATGCACTCCCCCCCCCAAATGTATCTTGTCTAGTTGCATCTCAATTATCAGTTGCGATCCTATTCATATATGTAGAATTTGTGGCAGTCAGGTCGAGACAGCTTGGGAGGGGTTCCAAAAGCTGGTTGACCTTCTGGCTGACCCACAAAAAACAACACCTCAATGGATGCTCT